TTAGGAAATCTGTTATGTAGACAGTGGGGTGTATAACAGTAATGTTTATTGGTTCGGAGCGACATAGTCTAACTGTCTAAAAATTGCAGGCTAGACAATAAAAAGACCACTCTAAAAGATTGTTCTCATACCCCACTGTCTTTATAGATTAGAAGTATTTCAAGTGGACACTCTATCTAGGCTGCAACTTCTAGACGGTTAGGCCCCAAGCGGATAAGTTTTTTTTTGTTCGGGGCTCCAAGTGAATATGTTTTTCTTTTGTTCGGGGCGCTAATAAGCACTGGTCTATACATTTCATTGTCTACATGATAGCTTAATAATCATGTTACGTAGTTATACTTTAGTCAACTTTAACGCTTAATATCTTGTTTCGCAGAGACATGGATCCGAATTTTTTCTGCCAGATTCTTTTATTTTACGCAAAAATGCGCCTAATTTCATTGAAATCGGAAGTGAGGAAGCTCTTCTAAGTCAGAGCTTTTGCAGTTTTTACAAAATTAGTCTTTTTATGAAAAGGCTAACTCACATCAGTCTGGTTTTAATGACGTTCTGCAAAAAGCTAACAAAACATCTAGCCTTTTTGCGTAAATCCTAGATTCTAGGCTTACACGAAAAATGCATACGATATCGATGTAATAGTAAACGACGTAGTAAAATGATATGTTGTTTTATAATAAATCATATGTGTGCATTTTATAGTCAGTAAAATAGCGATTCTTCGGAATTTATATATTTGATGTTTTTTAACTTCCCTAGTTTAGAAAGGGTATGTAGATTTTTTAGATTGATTAATTAACTAACATTTTCGTCTTTAAAATTATTTGAGGAATGCGCTGTTAAAAAATAATCTGATAGTTGTGTACAGGACATTCTGTATAATAAAATGAGAGAGAGAGAAAAAGAGAGATTTCTATTCAGTCCCGAGGAGGGATTGTCGGGCCAATTGTACTTAGTACTACTTATAATACGAGAAAAGGCAACAACATACTACGTGATTCAACATGGAGCAATTAATATCTACTAAGCGGAAGACTAATTTCTATTCTCCTGTAATGAGTTTATCAATCAAAAATTACAAATTATTTGAAATGACACAGGTCATTCCACTCAGATGGATCGAAGTGTTTGAACTCCTCCGAATAAAACGAAGGAAAAATATTGGGTTGTCCGGAAAGTTCGTGTCGACTTTGAAGGAAAATTGAAACGCAGAAGATTTAAATTTTAGTATATATTTATTAAATTATATAGGTGCCATTCTGTTCTACAACCTTTCTTCATCTTTCAGGCAACTTGAAAATTCCGTCCTTCCAGAATCTCTCAGGTTTTTCAGCGAAAAACTTTTCTAAGTGATTTTTTACCTTGACCAAAGAGTTGAAGCTTTTTCCATTAAGGAAATTTTGTAATGATCGAAATAGGTGGAAATCAGAGGGCGCGAAGTCTGGTGGATAGGGAAGGGATAGGTAGAACATCCCAACCGAGCTCCAACAACTTTTGTCAAGTTATCAAAGACACATGAGGCTGCGCATTGTCCTGATGAAACACGATGCTCTTCCGATTTCTGAATGTTTTTGTTCAATTGCTGTTCAATTGCTCTTCAATTCGTCTAATTGGGAACAATACTTCTCTGAATTTATCGTCTCGTTGTTTGGTAAAAGCTCATAATACAGGATCCCTTTCCAATCCCACTAGACACAGAGCATGACCTTCTTTGGATGAAGACCGGCTTTTGGGGTGGCTAAAGGTGGTTCATTCCGCTTTCCTCAAGATCTTTTTCGTTCAACATTATTATGAATGATCCATTTTTTATCTCTCGTCACTACTTGCTTCAAAAATGGTGTCTCCTCGTTGCGTTTATAGAGCGAGTCGCAAATGGAAATGCGATCCATCAGATTTTTCTCCGTTAAATCGTGGGGAACCCATACATCAAAACGGTTTATGTAGCCAAACTTCACAAAATGTTCGTCGATTTTGACATATTCAACATTTCTGCTAATTTACGTGTCGTATAGCGTGGGTTATTCTCGATCAGTAGTGTTTTAATCTGATCTTCATCTGTGGTGGAGGGCGTTCTTGATCTTCAAGGTTGAAATCATCAGCTTTAAACCTAGCAAACCACTTCCGCACAGTTCTTTCAGCTATAGCTCGTTCGCCTTAAACAGCGCATATCTTGTTTGCCGCTTGTGTGGCATTTTTGCCTTTCCGATAAAAGAAAAGCATTAAATGTCTAAAATGCACTTTGTTTTTTTCCATATTCAAAGGCATATAAAACTGACAAAAATTAACGTATCGCAACCAAATTTTTTTCTAAGTATGTCTGAAGTATCGTCTTTTACGATACGTACGTATGTCATTTGTTTTCAATCGTTCTGATATATTCAGACCTATTCTTTCAGACGCCTACCAAAAATCGGCACGAACTTTCCGGACAACCCAATATAAACAGGAAACGATAATGCAATCGCAATGATAGAAATAAATCTAGCAATTCAATCATAATTTATTATAAACAAAATTTGGCTTGACTTTCGGATAATATCCAATGTGGTCATCCGACATTTATCTGGTAGATATGAATTTGATTATTTGACAAACTTATATGCAGTTGATGCAGTCTGACGTCAGCAATTAAAAGATCGCAATACGTTTTTTTAATGAATTTCCGGAATGTAGTTACCGAGCGATTCGTTATTACTTATATAAGTAAGCTGCATTCCGAAACCTTTTAAAGAAAAAGTGTTGCAACCTTTTAATTGCTGACTGTATGATACATATATGTATCATATCTAACAATATTGACTATATTTCAAATTTGCTGCCAGCACTAAAAATTTGTAATTCACGTTATATGTACTATAGATTTTTAGTACGACAATTTCACTAAAACATGTTTAATTGCTTCTTTTACTATCGCACAATTATTTTTTTATTTCACATAGATTCATTAACGTTTAGTATGAATCGGCCATCCAATTTATTAAGTTTCGTCAGCATCGCTTCAAATCAATGAAATTAATCGCAATAAATGAAATTCATCCGTATCTTTTCTGCATCCATTCCTTCTTGTGCATTTCTCACATTTTTAAGCAAGAATGTCGTTTTTATTGATGTTACAAGGTTACCACACTTACGCACAGATTTCGTCATTTTATACCAATACATATATTCTCAGCTTCAGTAATTATCATAACGGAAAAAATATATGTTAATAAAAAAACTTTCAATTTTAAATATATAATTAATATATACAGATATGTTGTGTGTGTGTGTGTGTGTGTGTGTGTGTGTGTGTGTGTGTGTGCATTAATTTTTACTTAAAAAGAAGAATTCATGGAAAAATATAATATACATACTATATATATTGTATCGTCGCACATAATGTTTTAAAGTTTGTTATACATCAGCCTTGCTTCCGTATTATTATACGTCGCGCGATAAGGTTTAAATATAATAAGAGATTAATGCCGGAAGTAAAAAATAAAAATGAGAAATCGTATAGAGCAGTAAAGTTTCGTAATGATACATTGCGTGACTCGTCTGATGGTGTCTAATTTCTATATAACGAAAGTCTGTGATTAGAAAAAAATTCAAAAGTGACAATGTAGCGCATTAGAGCGATTTCATAATATTGCACATAGAATAAGAAAAATATTGAAATTAATATTCATCTTAACGAAATTTTATTATTTAAAATAAAAGACATAAACAAAGAGAAATATAAAAAAAGAAATATTAAAAGAAGAAAAAAAAATATTTTAAAAAATATACAAGAGTTATATATATTAAAATATCTAAACGAAATTATATCTTAAACAATATTTAAATTGAGAATTAAAATTATCATAGCTAATTGAAGTTATAATTTTCTCACAGCATAATTCGGATAAGCAATTCTAAATGAACATAATTATCGGATAAGACGCATAAATTATGTACGTTCATGCCCAATTAAAATCTTATATCAAAATGAGGTCAAAAGTTCATTTTCTCATTTTTACGAAATTGCTAGTTGCGTTTAATTTATTTCATAATGAGAATTTCTGGATCGTTATCGAATTTGTATACGGAGTACTTGTTAAATCAGACTATGAGAAATGAATATTTTGTACGTCTTATGCACTTTGACATCTATAAAAAAAAAGTTAAATATATTACGTAGAAGATGAGGAGGACGTACTAGACTGAACTGGAAAATCCGGTTATTACCGTAGATTTTCCGACCGCACATAGTGGTCACTTTTTGTAATCAAAAAACGTTCGGTTGAATTCTGTATCGATTGCAATAAATTTTTAAAAAATACTCATTTACTCATTTACTATATAGCGAAAATTTACACGCTTTTTAATGTTGCAATTTATTAATTAACAAAAATTGTAAATTTATACTAACTTTTTGGCAAACATTTCTTAGTGTGTTCATAATTCTTTCAATCTTAATATTTAAGGATTTTCAAGATTACTGATTACGAAACCGTCTTAAATTTGAAACCGAACTTAACTTTGAAAATTCAAAATGGCGAATATGGTGACCGCGAAATGTGAAGACAAATTTTGTAAAATTTGATATAATCTTAACGAGATATATAATAGATGTAATTAACGGCAATAATATTAATATAAAATAATAAAGTGTACACAAAATATACTTCGTACTTTTAAATTACTTCCAAATGCGTTTAGCGTTACTCAGAATTAAATACGTTTAGCGTTATACTCAGAACTAAAGACGTGGATCTAACAAGTTCTATTTAAGTTTCTATTTTTGTTTCTTTTTCGTTTTTTTATTTTATTTATTGAGACGCAGAGAGATGTCGGAATACATAAACGGAACTATCTTTGATTAACATAAATCATTATTATTAATAATAATTTAAGAATAAGAGAACAAATTTTGTTTGTAATATGAAATCCAGATGAAATTCTATGAAAGTTGCCAAAGGGATTCTCGTATCTGGAATAATTCAGTTTGATGCAATTTGATCAGAAGCGATCCAACGGCGGGGGTAAAAGCGTTAATGCTCGTACGTGACATAGAGAGGGGGACACGTATATATATATGATGACGTTTGTTACTCTGACTTAATAGTTCACACATAACAAACCAGAAAATCTTTTAAAGATCATGTTAATCATTTAAGCTCATTAAAAGAAACGGTTTTTTTCTTCTGTCGCCCGGTGAGATTTCTCCCCTCATTGTTAACCGGAAATACAATCAAAATGAGATACTTATCGATGACGATCTGTGTCCTCGTGACATTCGCGCTGCCGAAATCTATCTATGGACATCCTGCGACTGACAGCAGGTAATCATTTATTTTATGTGTGTATTTTACGTGTGTATATGTTCGCAAAAATATCAGTTGATCATGGAAAGTGAAGAGAAATCGACATTTTGGTATCCAGTCTTATTTCAATGATAGAATTGATTTTCGTTTGATTCTTCTCTTACGGAAAAATACATTCTTGGAGATCCGAAAAATAACATCTAATTAAATGTTAATTCCCAATAAATAAACCTTCAACTTGAGAATCAACACTCAATTTAACCGTTCATTTCGGATCGCTAAGAATGTATTTTTTCGTAAGGATTTGGATTCTCACAAAATTTTTTTACGTACATACGTTGCAGAACAATATTATGAATATATTGAACATATGTTGGCGATGGTTCTTTTCAGCATAAATAGACCGATTGTTTTGTAATAAAAGAGATATGTCTCTAATAAATTATATTTTTTTAATGAAAGACAAAAACTGATATTTTCCACATTTTTAAATATGCTATCTTACTCGATAGCTCATTTTTTGCTACTTTATATAAGGTCGATCTTGAATATGTTGGAATCACATGTGTCAAAGCTAGAAACTATCTCTAAACCAAAAGCGATCTCGATGCTCATTCAACAGAAAAATTTATCGATTCCGACTAAATCGTGAGTTGATTTAGATCCCTTTTCTTTCTCTTTTTTTTCAATTGTGTTAAATCCACCACACAATCGGTTGCATATTTACAGACGACAAAGACGCTTGTCGGATCAAAGACTAGCCGAGCTGGAGACGCTAATGAGTTTGTCAAAACTTGTTTCTCAATCACTTGTTGCGACATCTGGACATGGACAACCAGATCCAAGGATAATGTAAGAAGAATTTAATTAAAAAATCCTACACACATATAATCGATATAATAAGTAAAGAGAGAGAGAGAGAGAGAGAGAGAGAGAGAGAGAGAGAGAGAGAGAGAGAAAGAGAGAGACAGAGAAAGAGAGAATATAGAAACAATAAGGATTAATATATTTATGATATTAATTTATATATTCTTTTTCTCCTATAATTTTTATATTTCATATTTTAATTTGAGCTACACATATGTGATAATTTTTCAAATTTGTGTATAACTAATCGACGATGTTTAATTACAGTGGGCGGCGAAAATGATGAATCAGACTACATCGAGTTAATGTATCTATTAAAGTAAAACATCGCGTATATTCTCTAATTAGGTAAATATTTTATTCTATTATTACGGATTACACAAGAACTTCGCTCGCAGATAGCGAATCTTTTTTGTAATCTGTGTTAACCAAACATCTTCGATGGAAGAATGCGAAAAAGATGAAAGACATGATGATGAAGATCACGTTTTTTTGCAATATTTTGCGACGCATGTTATTTTGCGTAAATAAATCATGGCTTATGATAATTGCATGTATCGTAAATTCGAAAGAAACATTAATGTTAACATAAGTCTATACTTCGAGAATAACGCAAGGCTATCGCTGTCACTGTATCAGTGATAAGTCGCAACGGTCGTTCGATTCACGACGGCATGGCGCGGCGGCGCTCGTGCCGTTCCTTATCACTAACGCGACATTTCGCAATTATTTCTATTTGCACTAAAAAAATAATGAGCTCTGCTCTAATTACGTTTTGAGATAGAGGAGAGAGAATGATTAGAATTTTTATATTTTATATTAATAATTTATGTGTCTAATTGCGAAAGCTTAATGCCTATCATTTAATGAATATTTATGGTAATTTACATACTTTTGATATACATATATTACAGTTTATTTTATTATATTTTCAGTTGAATAGACTGATAGCGTCCGAAAAATGAAAGCGTGCATTTCGTATCACGATGAATGAGCCTGGTATATAAAAGAGAACATTCTTTGACTCATTTCATTGTTTTACGGAACGATTACTTTAGAAGTTAGCAAAATTACAAAACGAAAATTGTTATATAATGACTGGGGTAGAGATGCATGAAGAAATATTACAGATTTCTTAGATCCAAGTCTGTTGATATTATATAATTTAATCGAATATATTATATATATTATTTATATGTATATATTATATATTATACACTATATATTATATATTATGTATTATTTATTACTTATTATTTATTGTATATTATACATTATACACAGTGTGTTTCAAAATTTGCAATCGCGGAATGCAAGACGTGATACTTTATGCTAAAAAAAATATTTTTCTTTAGTAAAATTGCGTTTGATAAGTATAGTTTTTGCAGAAAAGTAGATTGAAGTTAACGAGTAAGCACTCTAATGAATGTGGCGCTCAACGGCGCGTTTCTTGCTCACTTGTATCTAATCCTTAGTTACACTGTTAGAAACGCTTCCTTTATATGTAAATCAAGCTCATGGTTATGAACGAAATTAAAGGAACGAATGATTTAACTGAAAATTAAGTTACAATTACTTAAATGTAATGAACATATATATTACTGGATCAATTCTAAACAGAATCATAAGACTCATATAACGTATTCTCGTAAAATTTGTAAGAACTTATGACTAATATTCTAATTTTATGCGTATGTATCATAAGACGTATGATTATTCATAAATATCTACAATTTCTTGTAAATTTTATGAATAAGAAGCTGTTTGTAAAAATATTGTATAAAGGTATAAGCACTTAAAAATTCTTATAAGCTTTACAGGAAGTAAAGTTAGGAGTCTTACGATTCTGCTTAGAATTTAGGCATAAATTTTATAAAATTTTATGAAAAGTATATTATTTTTATGAAAATTTTTATGAAAAATACATTAAATTTTTATGAAAAATACATTAAATTTTGTACATGTATACAATATATATAATTATACTTTTCAGTTATAAATATATTAAATTTAATGTAACACATGAAATGTCACACATGAAATTAAGTTCAAATTATGTAACTTAAAAATATATTAAATTTCTTTTTTTAACGGTATAATATTCATAAGTAATGTCTTAAGACGCTGATACGGCTATGATATGATTATAGTTTACGATACCTGAAGACTGTACTTAAAACAATCTCAAATATACAATAAAAATATCAGTTATGAATGTTGGACATTAATCTTCTTCCGTACTATATTTAAAAAATAAAAAATTAGCAAAATGAATATTACTTTCTTTTTTTATGTAATAAATAACAAATAAAAGAATTGTCTATTTTGTAGATTCATTTAAAAGTAAAGACAAATGTAAATAATAATATGCTTGGCAAGCTTTGTTAAACTTTTTGTTTTTCGATTTAAATACGTATCGCATAATTGCGTATGAGTCATACAGTATGACTAAGTTAAATAATATATCACTAAACTCAAAGAATAGTTTACTAATTAAATGAATAAATAATCCTTAAACGCCGAAAAACAAATTTATTTTAAAACTGTGATTAAAAATAGAATTAAATTGTATTCGAGTTAAAATATTTTAAGAGAGTTAAGATATTTTAATTCTCCTTATTATAAAAAATACATACTGAAGGCTTGTTCAAAATTATTAATTTTCAAAATATTTACTAATTATGTAATTATATAAAATCTCAATAACAATTGTTTCGATATTTTTAAATTTATTTTTACATATTTTTAAAGCAATTATCTACAAAGAATGTCAAGAGAATTTAAAAATTGTATAAAAATAAAAATTGTTTCGACATAAAAAATAAAGATTTACATTTTTAAAATAAAATATCATTTTAAAATTATGTTTCTAACATATGTCACGTATAAATAATTGCTTTAAAAAATATTATTAAAAATATTTTTGTTGCTATTTGGATTGTTGATCTTTTTAACAACATGCGAAACAAAATTGTATTGACCATTTTGGTAAGTCTTTTATTAAGGTGACGTTTTGCTTGCTTAATTCATTTACTATAGAATAAGTTATTAACCAATTTATAAATTTATTTATTAGAATATGCAGAAATTTTCAACAATCGGTCGGTCAACCATTTGCGAGCAATTTCGATTTCTCTATAAAATATTCATCTGGCCTCATCTAATTATTGTATAATTTTTATTCCATCTCTATTATTGTCTTCATTTTTTTAACATTATTGCATGGATTCGTAATATCTGAAGATGGTTCAATTTAGGCCGAAACATGTAATAAATGTTTTAAATTTGAATTTATAGAGTATGTCTCGTATATTTTTTACTCGTATATTATTATATTTGAATTTTGTAATTGACTCTTACATGACCTTTCTAATTTTCTATTATTTTAAAACAACATATATTGCACGCGCTTGTCATATGATTTAAAATGATTGCAAATGATTAAGTTCTAATATGAATAAAGTGAAATAAAAAAATAATAAGTGATAGTAAGTAATTACGAATAGATTATTGATTATTTATTATGCATGAAATTGAGTTTTGCTGTCATAGCAGACATATTGAAACAAAATCCGCTAAAAAATGGTGAATTAAGGTCAAGCTCTGATTGGTTGCGCAAGAATATATCTTGTCTACTCATGGGAGAAAAATAGAAATTTAAACAAATAAAAATGTTTTCACAGAAAGCGAAATGTTATTGTTTTCGTGTACAGTCGTGAACAGAATTGCAAAATTTTTTTTTCAATGGATCTCGTAACTCAGCCTTGCTCGTAGAGAGGTTGAATTATGGTGAAAGATACAAGCCTAGATGAAGCATTCCCGTGATTGCGCAGTAAGAGCGTGAATTTGAGGCGAAATTTGTTGCAGAATCAGTGAAAGAAATCTTGGAGGCACTTAGATGGGATGTCTTATCGTACCCACTTATTCATCACTCTATTCATCAAACATTGTTCCTTCAAAGTTCCTTTCAGGACATTTATCATGGAACAAAATCGGAATGCATTCCAATCGGAATTATTCAATTATTCCTTAGATTTCTATTGTGTTTTCTGAGGAAAATGGAATAATTCCGATCGGAATCCATTCCGACTTTATTCCACAATGGGTGGGAGACGCTATTCACGCTATTTAGCGTTACAAACTGTTCGCTACAGATAGCGCTAACAAACACAATCATGACGTCACTAATGGTAGCGTGTTACGTCACAACTGCGCGCTATCAACGTTATTCCTTCCGAGGTAGGTGTATTGGTAGCGTTTAACATTCGTCAAAGTTAGATTAATGTTTGAGGGAATTCTGTTTTCGAATGGCACGAAACTTTTCTCTCTTAGAATTTCGTAAAATAAACATACGTATGTAATGTGTGAATTTCAAATTGTATCATAATGAATGCAATCTCAATTTTAATCTCTCCTAATGGCTTGCCACTAGGCTAGATTGAACGTAATTCTTGCTTGTGTATTATCTTTAACTTTTCAAAGTTTCTGCGAAGTTCAACTTATGTATTTGATTTTATTATAAATGTGAAAGTCAGACATATCTTTTAATTCCCGTGTACGGAAAAAAGTTATTATTCCGGTATAGCGCAGCAGGGTATTCCGCTATAAATGCTTAAGGTCCTTATTAGATGTAAATATGCTTCTTCTTCTGAAATCGACCACAAATTCTCAAGGATTGTTCCTTCTGATTAATTTATTCAGTGTAATTATTAATTTGTAACTATTAATTTTTTGATCTAGTTTATATTGTTCACTCCGGCCTAGCGGCAAATTATTATGAAGATTGCGATTGAGATTGTATTCTGTTATTCACTACGAGAAAATTAAAAATTTACGTTACAAATATTTTACAAAACCTTAAAAATTTTAATTATAGAGAGAAGTTTGGTTGGTGATTGAAAATAGAATCCCTTACATTAACTTAACCTCGACGAATATCTCTTTTTTTTAAACGCTACCAATGATAGGATCGTTCATAAAATTTGCTAACGCGCTATTGGCTCCAAAAACAACAGCGTTTGCGCGAATAGGGTCTCCCCAAACGCACCCAATAGATGTCCAGATCCAGATTATCATTTGTTTCGGTCGATGCAACATAGTCTTTCTGAGTAGCATTTCAGTTATTTCGAAGATACTAAAAAAATGGCTCGACGATTGGATCGCCTCGAAAGAACCTGAATTTTTCTATCGCGGAATTCATTTGTTATCCGAAAAATAGGAAAAGGTTGTAATTTCGATAGACAATATTGTGAATAAAATATCTTTGTGATGAAATAAACATGAGTTTTTGTAACAAAAAACAACGAGAATTAATCTAAACATTTAATAGGTAACTACACACACGCACACGCACACGCACACACACACACACACACACACACAGGAACCGCAAGCCGGCAAGCCGCGCAAATATAAATATAAAACATAGCCATATTGTAATTTCTCTCTGTATCTCTTTGATTGATTTCTTATTCGATTTAACAAAACAAATATAGCCAATCCAATCCAATGGTGCAACATCTCAAGTCGGGATCAGGCCTCTCATACGTATGCCTGTCGTGCGCACGCAAGTTGTACACAGAGAGCACGAGCGTGGCGTAGCAGTAGCGCACGAGACTTATGTCAGAAATGGCCAGAGATCCCGGGTTCGCGATTCCAGGCATATTCAAGAATTTTTCATGCGCTCGTAGTTCCTCTTCGATCGGTCTAGCAAACCACCAAGAGTATCTATTGCCAAGAAAACCTCTTAAAAACTGCCGTTCGAAACCGGCGAAAAATTGTAGGTCCCATATGTCTCTGTTATCATAGCCATCAATATTATATTAGGTGTAGTAAAAAGAAATCCATTATTTTTGCATGAAATTGAATGGAAAAATAATGGATTTTTTTTACTACACCTAATATTCGCAGTCTCTATAATGAAAATGAAATTATTATGCGAAAATGATTAAATTTTAATTAAAAATAGACAACTAAAAAACAAAATAGAAAAATGTTTTTAATATATGCTGCAAAATTTAACTTTATAATTAAAATTATATATAAATCAAAAACAAGAATATTATTTCTTATT